GGGAGTCTGATTTTAAGTGGCTCGTTCCGCAACGCGGGCGCAGTGTGCGGCGCCTGCACGGCCAGCGGCCAAGCCAAGGCCAAGCCGGAGGCCGTGCCGGAAGGCAAATGGCTATCGCGCCTGAGGAATAACATCGGGGCAGCAGCAGCAATACCAGCGCATGCCAATGGCCCCGCCCCGCCCCGCCCCGCCCCGCCCGGGGCGCGACCTCTCCCTCCGCACTGCCGGCCGGGCCCTGCTGATTTATTCAGTGTGCAGCAGTGTGCAGAGCCTCTCCGGCTCCGTCTTTGCCTCCAATTCCCTTCCCTGGCTCACGTGCCCCCCGCGGGGCCCACGCTGCGCCCCCCGCACGCCCCCCGCAGGGCCCACAGTCGGCCCCTCGGCCCGCCGCCACACACTCACCCTTAAAACAGCAAAGCACACAGCTGCAAGGCCACACAGCGCCTCGCACGGTGCCGCTAACAAGGCTGTAAGTGGCACACACACACACACACACACCACACAACACACACAGAGGGGAGGGGCGCATCTCCAGACGAGGCAGAACTCACCGCACACATTGTTCGGACGCGCCGTCTGGGCCCCCTAGACGACGCGGAGCCGTACTCTAATCAACAGAGGAGGAGGGGAGGGATGGGGGCACCTTTGCCTCAGAGGCTTTGTGTTCAAGTGGCATAGGCAGCATGGAGACAAGCTACTAACGTAGGGAGACGCAAGGTCCCGCTTCCTGTCACCAGGTCATGTAGTTTGGAGGGAGTGAGACAGACATACTTCGGAGTTTCTTTTTAACACTTTACATTGAATTGGCGATACTTTCGTCACATCCGACTACTCTTATGATAGTTTCTATCCTGTAGGATGACGAAGATGACATTTGTCACTCGAAATATCATCGACATAAATAAAGTCTTCAGTTTCGTAGGTTAGAAAATCGGACCTCTCTCTCGCGAGATCTGACATGACCTGGTGACACGCAGTTCTCGTGGTTTATTTCAGGGAAATATTCAACCGATTGCCAAATAAAAGGTATTAACATCTTCAATGATCCTTCCTGATTCCATAGACCAGATAAAATTGGATGATTATCGCAATTAAATAGTTTGAAAGTGTTGAAATACCGGAGGGTGTCCCAAACCTTGCGTCTCCCTACGTTAGTAGCTTGTCTCCATGTAGGCAGCCCCCTCCTAAAGCGAATCAGATTAGTGCGAATAATCAACGAGACGTTATTAGCACGGCGCCGCTACGGCATCGGGCCGCTGCCGCCCCCTCCATACTTTACCCAATGCGTCCCTTACAATTGAAACAGATGACTCTCCCCACCCCCTTTTCCACCCCGCCCACCTCCACCGTGTGCGAACTCTCTCGTGGGGATCCGGCCCGGCCGGGGACCCCCTTGAGGCCCCAAGAAGGCGTCGCCTAACCAGCAGGCAGCCAGCAGGCAGCCAGCAGGCAGCCAGCAGGCAGGCAGCCAGCAGGCAGCCAGCAGTGCGGACGAGGCGACGCAAGTCATATGTGCCGGCCCGAAAGCCCGATGGCCCGAAGGCGCCCAGAGGCCTAGCCGGTCCGGTCGGCCGGCCTAGCCGGCGTCATATCGGACAGATGACATGAACCCAATACTCCGCGCAGGCCGGCCTGCCGCCGTTCGCGCCCTGACGGGGTCCGTTCCTAAAACGGCGCTTCAAAACGAGGGGAAACCAGAAAGCGACGCGCATCAAGGCACGACCACTTCCCAAAAGTAATTTTTTTTGTTCACAAAGAAAATGGAAGTCGTCGACGACGGATCGTCGACGACGGATCCGTCGAGCTTCCTCAGCCAACCTGTCCGTAGAGAAACGTTCCATGTGGTTTATCGCCGACGCTCCCCGGCCACCTCGCCGCGATTGGTTCACCCCCCCCCCCCCCTTTCCATTCGCAGCTCCCCTTCTCCCCCCCCCTCCCCATTACTAGACCGCCACAATCTCTGCCCTTGACGACCCCGCAGAAAGGATATCCGGGCGACAGGCGCTTTCCCGACGCCCCACGGCGGGCCTGAGGCGGGCCGAACCCCACCCCCTATGAGGGGGGGAGAGAGAGAGAGAGAGAGAGAGAGAGAGAGAGAGAGAGAGAGAGAGAGAGAGAGAGAGAGAGAGAGAGAGAGAGAGGAGGGGGGGAGGGACGAGGATGGCGACACGCGGCCCACCCGAGACGATCAGTCGAAATCCTCCAAGAATCGCCACCCCAGTCAAAGAACGCGAGAACGTTAAATTTAAAACGCGAAAAATTTCGTGAGTCAGTGCCCGATCCTTTTCCAAAGACTATCAAAAAGTGCAAGGTTGCTTTTTGGTTTCGTTTTTATTAAGTCATTTAAAATTTTTGTACCTAAAAAAAGAAAGGTAATTTTTGCTGTGTTCACTGGCTGTGGAGGCTGCGAGGCGGCGGGGCGCTGGAAACTGGAAGGTGTCGGGCCGAAAGAATGAGAGCAATAATTGAATGGGAGGAGGGGCGCACGGGGGCCTCACATTGGACAACGGAAGGACGGGAGAGAAAGGAGGGGGAGAGAAAGGGGGTAAGTCGCATCAATCATGCAAAGAGACGGAGTTCGGATTCCACACGAATTACATTCGCGGAGCCGCGGACCGACGCAGGAAGCCTAGTCAGCCAGCCAGTAGCGGCACTGCAACACAGAGGTCATCGCGGAGCTCACGGGTGCGCGGGCGGTGCAGAGGTGGGGGGGGGGAGGGGGGAATCACCAAACGCAGTCGCCATCGGCGATCCAATAGGTGTATCAAGCGCACTGCAAATACCGAAATGAGAAGAGGGGGAGGCAGACGGACGCACTCGGCAACAAAAATTATGCAGACAGATGGGATGGGCAATCTGGTGTGACAAAAAAAAAAGCTCCACCCTCTCCGGGAATCGCCAATTATTTACTGGGCAATTATTGGCTTTGCCGCTCCTTCCTCCATGGCGACAACGGGAAGGGAGGGGTTGGGAGGGAAGGGGGAGGGGGCAAGGGGGAGGGGGAAAAGGGGAGGGGAGGGCAGAAGGGGAGGGGGGGAGAGGGAGGGGGATCCGAATGGCCCCGAATCTGGCCAAGGAACGATAAACCGAGGAGTAGCGTCCACATTGTTTGGGCCGCTCCGTCAAAAGATAATTTGCGTCGCCGCGGAATGAAAAACGGGGTACAAACAGTAAACGGTTCATGAATTACAAACGCGGGGTGGCGAATTAAACAGGGCGGGCGGACAAGTAGAATGAGGCGTAATTAGGCGGTTAGAATTACACGTGGTTGTTCGCCCACGTTGACTGCGGATGAAAAATTAACAAGCGACAAATTCACGTCGCCGCTCAGCGAATGTGCGTTGGCTGAATGCGCATTGGGTTGAACTATTCCGCTGCGCCCACTGTGAAAATTTTGGTTGACACTTGATTGACAGTTTGAAGGCTAATTTTCCTTACAAGATAAAGGTGTCACACCTAATGCTATAAGTATGGTAGCTTTGTCATCAACTTGTGACGAAATTTTCACTAATTTAAAGTTATATAAACGCCATTTTGACCTAAAGTGACCACAAATTTTAACAGTTTCCAGCCTAGGAGGAAACGCTGAAGGCTGGCAGCCACTGCTTTCCGGCCCAGACGTCCAGTGAGGGGGGCAAGAACAGTGGTCCAGCTCCGCGGAGCTTCGCGGAGCGCTCCCACTAGTTGCCGCGAGGCCCGCGGGGCCACGGGGTCGTCGGCCGGCCTGCCGAGAGAGAAAGAGGGAGAGGGAGGGAAAGAGGGAAAGAGAAGGACAGTGAGAGCGCGGGGTAGCGCCGCCGCTCGGGCGCCTGCCAGGTCCAGGGTAGGCAACGCGCCGCGCGCAGACGTCCGCCGCGCTGCCTATCGCCCGCGTCACAGGCGGCTGCGCGCTGCGGAATTCATAGTGTACTCTCCGGCTCAAAATAATATCACTGAGATAATAAAATCAAAATCTAGCCCAACTGGCTTTCGGGAACTAAAAGTAAAAGCCTCGGCCTTACACCTCTGATGCTAAAGCGCACAGCAGTTCGCTGCACCGCTCGCCCCCCCCCTCTCTCTCTCTCTCTCTCTCTCTCTCTCTCTCTCTCTCTCTCTCTCTCCTCTCTCCTCTCTCTCGCTCCAATACGGAACGTTCCATGAGCGTGACAGAGACGGAACGACAGCCGACTGCAGCCGAACAAACTCCGGCATGCGCGGCAGGGAGCGAAGAGTGAACAGAAGGCGAGCTCAGAGCTCGCCCGAGGGAGGCCGGGGCCGCGGCGGCGGCGCTCCGAATCAGGGTGCAAGTAAACAAAAGGTCGCGACTCCGCGGATTGCAAATACGGGCAGGCAAATACGAACCTGGTCAAGACCCTCCCCCTCCCCCTCACTTTGGTGCGCCGCCACGCCACGCCGCGGCCAACTTGGCTCCAAGTTCGCGGCGGGGAAACAAATCTCGTTAACGGCACAAGTGAGAGCGGGAAAGCGAAAGTGGGGCGCGGGAAAAGAAGGGGAAAAGAAAATGGCGAAATTGTGCGCACTTGATTTGCGGGCGGCGCGGGGCGGAGGGAGTTGGCATTCCATTTCATTGCCGACTCATGCGGGTTAATTCGGAATTATTCGCATTCTACCGGATTGGCCGGATTGGCCAAATGGAGCGTTTGAGTTTCGCGCGGGGTTCGCGAAATCGTGAGGCCGGTGAAGCGCAGCCGAGCGAAGCGCACCCGGGATTCGGAGGAAAGCCTGTTGGCGTCGAGTTCGTCGCCCCGCCGGCGGAGCACAGTGGGCCAGACCAGTGGAGGCAGCCAAAATTCTGGACGCGTTTTGAGCTCCAGAGTCGCCTAACGGGACTCAAACCGAACGTGTGACCCCACCAATGGATTGCTTACCTAACGAGGAATCCATTGGTGGGGTCACACGTTCGGTTCGAGTCCCGTTCAGCGACTCTGGAGCTCAAAACGCGTCGAGAAAACGGCCTCCGCCACTGTGCTTCGTTTTGCCGCTTGACCGCTTTGGCTTACCTTTGCTGTGCAGCTGCTGCCGGTTCGAGTCCGCCTTGAGGTTCTCGGCCGTGTGCACCAGGTCGTCGAGCTGGGGCTTCTTGTGCTCCAGCTCTCGGAGTACATTCTGCAACAAAAGACAATTTTCGATCAGCCGATATGACGACAGACGCGTGAATCAGAGGGCGTGTCTAAAGAACAAATTGAGGGTGGTGCGAAATTTTCTCGTTTTCATAGACTGCTGCTGTTTTTATGATCCGTGCGGTATGCGGGAAACAAAACGCCCAACGTGGCAGGGTGCCAGCCCTTTAGCAGACTACGCGCAAAACACACACACACACACACGCACATGCGCCCTTGGAGAAAGGCTATCTCCGCGAGGCATCACCCCCTGGGGAGCGCTAAACTCTCGGGCAACGCGGCCCTCTGTTGCACGTCCGAGCCTACCCTTCTTATCGCTTCACTTCGTCATTGAATTCGAGGCCCTGCTTATGGACCCCCCTTGCCCCCCCACTGCAAAGAACGGGGCCGAATCATTAATCAAAGCAACAAGAGTAAAAATAACAACAACAACAACAACAGCGACGTGCGCACACTGCAACGGCCCTAATGTTCTCTTTACATTGTGCAAGATTGGTCACATTCATCATCGCCTTTCGCATTAAGAAACAGCGCCCCGCCCGAAGCCAGGCCGGGAAACTTAATCAAGTCAGGCCAGAGAGGACCGCGCTCAGTTTCTCCACGGCATCGCCACGTCGCCGCGTCGGGGGACACACTGTCTTACGGTGAAAGGCTGCACCAACGTATTATAGTGGAGATCGGTGGAGATTTTCTTCAATGCAAAAGAAATTTGACAGAATATCTGAAAGGTACATACAATGAATTTTGAACTGTAAGTTACGAAGTCAGCTGCATCGCCATAATATGGAGAATCTTCACAGTAAAACATTAAGAGTGCGCTGTAGAAGCCGCACACAAAATCTATGTGTGTACTCAGTACACACTTCTAGGTGCGTGCTTACAAGCATGCACTTTGAGGCGTGTACTTGCCTAAGCAAGCACCTAGAAGTGTGTACTGAGTACACACATAGATTTGTGTGCGGGCGACGTTTTGCAGCGTGAAAAGGCTCGCGGCAGTGGAGGGCCCCAACGTCACTCCGTCTCCCTCGCACTCCTGCGGCGCTGCGGCGTTGGCGCATCCCGTGGGAGGGCTGCACAGTAAATGTCTTGGTGAAAGGCTGCACCACACTGTGGCAAAAAGCTACGGAAAATTCTGTAAACAGCTTGTGGTAATTTTCCGTAGCCCCCTTATCAATATTCTCCGTAGGCTCTTACAGTATTTTCCGTAGGACCCCACAGTATTCTCCGTAGGACCTTACAGTGATCTCCGTAGGACTATACAGTCTTCCAGGTCCTACGGAGAAGACTGTGCGGACTTACAGAGAATACTGTGCGGCCCTACGGAGAATATTGATAAGAGGGCTACGGAGAATCCTGGCAAAAAAAATTAACAGAATTTTCCGTACCTTTTTGCCACAGTGCAACATAATATGGTGGAGATTTTCTCCATAATACCAACGAAATTCGTCAAAGTCTCTATAAGGTACAGTGAATTCTCAATGGTATGTTACGAAGTCAGCTGCACCACCATAATATGGAACATTTTCACCATAATATGGAGAATCTTCACTGTAGAACATTTAGAGTGTGCGAGAGAGAAGGAGCAGGCCTGGGCGTCACACAGTGGGCCAGAAGACCGGTGGATGCGGCCAAAACTCTAGACGCGTTTTGAGCTCCAGAGTCGCTAAGCTGGACTCGAATCGAACGTGTGACCCCACCAATGGATTCCTTGTTCGGAGAGCAATCCATTGATGGGGTCACACGTTCGGTTCGAGTCCTATTTAGCCACTCTGGAGCTCGAAGCGCGTCTGGAGTTTTGGCCGCCTCCACTGGTCTTCTGGCCCACTGTGCGTCAGCGGCGGCAGCCTGCGGGCAGGGCCTTCGCCTTTCACGGTGCACGCGTGTACACCGTGCCTACACCGTGCCTACACCAGCCACCGCCACTTCACGCCCCAAAGCCTCCCGGCGAGGACACCGCCAGGACAGCGCCCTTCCGAGCGACGCAGCCTTTCCGCCCCTCCCCCTTCCTCCCCGTCATCCTGACTGGCCGGAACACAGGCGGGCCGGGCCGGCGTGTTGGCATGCCGTGGGCTCGGTGCCCTTTAGCGCGCTTTAGCGGCGGTGACGTCAAGGCCTCCACCGCGCCAGCAAGACCGAAGGCAAAAACACGAAAAACAACAACAACACGCCCATCCGTCAACGACGCAAACTGGATCAACGGTGAGGGGAAACTGAAACTGGCCCGCTAAATTCCCTCCAGCGCGACGCGGGATGATCCCCAGGAGTGTTTTCGTCGCTCTGTCTCTCTCGCACTCGCACCAAGCCGGAAACACAGCCGTCGAGGCGCCGAAAAAGGTGCATCTCTTCGCCAATCAGGGTTCACACCAGATTCCTTTTTTTCATTTTCCCTGATATCCAGTGTAAAAATTACCAATTTTCCCTGACTTTATTTTCAAAATTTATGTGCAGTTCTAGAGTCAATTGCATGCAGCTTCCACACGTGCGGCGTTCAAAATCCATACTCTGACGAACTTTTCAAATTTTCCCTGACCAAAATCGAATTTCCCTGACTTCCAGTGCCCATTTTATTTTCCCTGACTTTTCCATGACTTCCCTGATTTCCCTGACCGGTGCGAACCCTGCCAATGCATGGAGGAATCTCAACGACAGAGAGAGAGAGAGTTTAGTTTTTAAAATTATTTATTGGGGGGATTTTGTTTTTAACAATTAGGGCCAGGACATGAGTTCAATTTTGTCACAAAATATGCATGCAGTATTATTGTTTTTTTTTTTTTAGTGTTTATGTTGTGCTGCAGTGTTTACATTTTTGTGAGCTTAGATAAAATTTTAGAATTTACAGAGTATGATATTTTTTAGTAACTAAGCAATACCGAAATATACATAACATGTTTTAGATAATTTAATAAAAGGAAGAGAAAAGATTTTGATTCTATACAAACAAAAAGACATTTTTAAGAATATGTAAAATTTACAATGACAAGTTAACACTTTAAACATTTTAGAAGATTAAAATTTACTTATTTTTACATCACAGTTTTTGGGAGGATAATAACATTTGATAATTTTGCTATGAAAGAAGGAGCTAACTTATTAATTTATACATCTAGAAAAAACATTTGGGAAAATGTTTTGTTGAAAAAATTAAGGAAAAAAAATATAAGTCATAGTTATGGTATAAGAAATTACAGGTGCTGATTGAGGGCTTGATTAATTAGGAAAGTCTTAGAGAATGTTTCTTCAGTTTGGGTGATCTTGGCATAAGATTGTTGGATCTTGAGTCTGAAGTCCATTCTTCTTTGGAATATTTGAAGGTAGGCAGGAGGTGGTGGTTCTGGTTCTTTGATTCTATCCATGTATGTATAATAGATAGTACTCTTGACAAGTGATAAAATAAAGTTTGACAGTCTTGATTCAGGGTTTGTACTTGGAAACCCTATTATAGCTTCTTGTAAAGAGAGGGGTGGTTGGGTTCCATTTATAGCACATATTTTCTCAGAGGCATAGTTCCATAATGGAGCGGCTTCTTTGCAACGGAAGATCATATGCATTATGTTTCCTTCTTGTTGAGTGCACCATGGACAATCAAGTTTTTCAATAATATTCCACTGATGTAGCTTTTTTGGAGTAGCTAAAGCATCATATAACAATCTCCAGCAAACATCAGAATCTCGTTTGTCAATTGGGTGATTGTATAGGGACATCCAGTTAATCTTCTTATTTATGATTTTTGATTTTCCATTTACTTGAGGCTTTGATATTAATGGTTGAAGACTTGCAAGGTACATTACTTTTTTTGTTGATGGAAAGTTGAAAAGCTTTTCTTGATCTTGCCGTCTAAAGCTGAATTTTATTGGCTCATGCTCTTCATTAGACTGCTGAATTTTTATCTTCTTGCTGAAATGGATCTTGATTTGATTGTAGTTGTAGCTCAATCTTCTTTGCGTTGAGATTGTGTACTGTTGGAGGTTGAGTGTTTCCCAGGATCCATCTTCTTTTAACATTTTTTCCAATGTGGTGTGTCCACACTTTTTCCAATCAGGGATTATTTGAAAATTTGTTTGATCACTTAGCATGCTTCCATAGAGTGGCATTTTTCTCAGTACATTTATAGGGAAAACTGTAGTGTTCAAAATTGGACCTATATTGTGCCATGCTATCAGTAGACTTTGATAGAAGGGATCCAAGTTGCACATATCTTTTTCTTGCTTGACTTGACAGAAGAATAGTGATGGAGAAATGTCTCCATACAAAGAAAGATTGTAGTGATGAAGTAGAATGGTTGAGTCTTTACTATTTGGTTTTTGCTGGATTGCACTTGCTAATGAAAGTCTCAGGGAATTTATTTTTGCATGTAGATTAATAATTTCTAATCCTCCTTCTTCTTTTGGTGCATAGATGAAGTTTTGGTGGAGCCAATGTTTACCTTGCCACAAGAAGTTGTTCATTCGAGTTTGGATTTGTTGGATGAAAAGTCTTGGTGGTTGCAGAACATTTAGGACATGGATTAATTGTGACCCAATGAGCTGGTTACAAATTATTCTTCTACCTTGGTATGATGTTAGCTTGACATATTGTGTCCAGTTGTTGAAAGTTCCGCTTATTTTAACGGAAAGGTCTTGCCAATTTTTTTTCTTCATAAGTTTTGTTATTTCCTATGTAGACTCCCAAATATTTTGCTCCTTCATTATTCCATTTATATTCCATTGGGGTATCATTTCTTGTTTTCCAAGATCCACAGAATAATCCAGTTGACTTGTTTTGATTCAATTTAGCACCTGACTGTTGGCTGTACTGCTGGAAAGCAAGATCGATCTTCTCGAAGTCGTCCTCTTCTGTTATGAAAAAATTAATATCGTCTGCAAAGGCAGTGCACTTAGGTCTGATGTTTGTTGACATTGGTATTAGATAACCTTTGATGTCCATGTTGTTAGACACATACCTCAAAAAGGGTTCAATGGTTAGGATATATAGTGGGCCTGCGATTGG